GATGAACGAGTTTAAGAGTTTTTAAGAATTTTAAAAGTTTTTAAGAGTTTTAGTCAAATGCTTTATAAGATAGTATAGATATATATGTGTATGTATGTATGTATACACAGTACACGCAGAGACCTTCATCCCCAATGCTACCTATACCGATACAACGAGCGACGCCACTACTCTACTCCGGTGATAGAGCTCCGGTTCACACCTACCAGATCTTTTTGCCCCTCTTTTCTCACCCTTCGTCTACTCCAATGATGGAGCTCTGTCGGAGACCCCATTCCCCATGTCTTTCTCCGATGATCCCCTGGACTTGCACGCTGGTGGGTGGTTTCACAGAGGTTCTTCGTCCCAGTAAATGTGTGTGTGTATATGTTTGTGTGTGTGAGAGAGTAGGTAGGTCACGGTGGTGAGGCTGGTTGACAGTGTGCGTGTGTGTTACTCCGGAGAAAATGACCAGAGTAAATTCTTGTTTGATTGTTGTAGTTGAACAATGGGTGTTTGCGTGTGCGCTGAGAGGTGTGTGTACGTGTGCGTTACGGAGCAATGATTGTAGTGTGTGCGTGTGTATGTTTTAAACCGGGAAGACGACCGGAGTAAACTTCCCGTTCGCTGGAGGCGATGGTGTGTGACATGTGTGTGTTGTGACTGGAATAGTGAGCTAGGTGGGTTCATGGTGGTGTGAGGATGAGGGAGAACATGGCCGGTGGTATGAGGTGGGTTTACTATGATCGTCCCTATCGAGAGGTTGGGTTCACGTGAGACCAGACTGTTTTCGTGAGACCCGTGAGACCACATTTTTACACGTAAACTTCACAGCAAAAACACTGTGAATGTTTAAAAAAAGTCGAACCTTCACAGTAAAAACACTGTGAAGGTTTTAAAAAGTCACTTTCACAGCATTTTGCTGTGAAGTTTCAAGTGTAAAATGCTGGTCTCACGGGTCTCACGAAAACAGGCTGGTCTCACATGATCCCAAGTCCCCTATCGAGATATATATATCTATGTATCTATGTATATATCTATGTATGTATATATATATATATATATCTATGTATATACACAGAGAGAGAGAGAGAAAAGCGATCAAATGCAAACCATATTTTTGTGCAAACTCTACAAACCAATCTCATCCATCTATTTTCTTGATCAATGATCATGATTAAAATGTGTTATATTTGGAAAGTAAAAAAAAGTTTTAATATTTAATCAAGAAAGAGCAAAATTGACAAACCATTCTTAATTTCCAGCCATATTGTTCGTTCCTTTCCAAAAATCCTTTTGGAAATTGGTTTCACCAATAAAAACATTTTGGAAAGTGTATCTCATTTTTTTCATTAGTGAAATTGGTTTCATTATTCGTCTACATAATGAAATTTGAGCCAGATATGGTTCAGTCAGTGGGACATTTTCCAAAAATTTGAATAATATGTTTTCGTTAATGAAATTCGTTTCATTATTGAAATTGGTTTCATGGACTCCACAATTCCATAAACTGAATGAAATTGTTTCAGCAGTGGAATTTGTTGAAATGTTTCATAATCAAAATGGAATCGGTTTCATGGTTTCTAACCAAGATGAACTCGGTTTTACATATGAAACTAAATATTGTTCAGTCAATAAAACACTTCAATGACTGAATAATAATATTTCATTCATTTTTAAATTTATTTCATTTTCCTAACCAAAATGGAATCGATTTCATGGTTTATAGCCAATATGAAATTGGTTTTATTAATGAAATCAAATATGGTTCAGTCAATGAAACATTTCAAGACGTGAATACTATTATTTCATTAATGAAAGTAGTTTCATGGTTCCTAACCGAAATGAAATTAGTTTCATTTTTGAAACATTTTGAAACCTGTATAACATGGTTTCATTAATGACATTAGTTTTACGAATGAAAACAGAACAAGATACTCAAAATCTGGAAAATATCACAACTATATTATTAATAAATCAGTAATTACTTGTGAATTGAAAAAAAATACCGGTTCTTTTGTTATTATGACAATGAAATAAATAATTTCATAAGAAATAAATTATTACAAATAGATTTTGTAATTGATGTAGTATTTATAATTTAATAAAAGAATATAAAATATTAATGGTAATAATTATATATTAAAATCAATTGATTTATAGTTTTCTTAAAAATAGTTATTCTATTTAATCTTCCATATTTAAAAACATTATCAAGATTATCTATTACAACGTAAAATGACATTCATAACTTTATTCACTAAAAATAAAGAGAAACAAAAATTGTTATATTAGTTGATGATGGTTTCTATTTCTTGCATGAAATAGGAGGTTTGTAAAATAACCTCTCTCTCTCTCTCTCTCTCTCTCTCTCTATATATATATATATATATATATATATATATATATGAAGATACAAACGAGAAACCCTGTGATTTACGAGAATGCGAGAATAACCTACTAACCTCAAACTTTTTAATCAATAATTTAAATTATATTAAATACAAACAAGTCAATAAGGACACTAACGTAATTATATATTTTTTATAATTTTTATTTTAGTTTAATTAATTAGAATTATCCCATCCTTTTTTGTTGGGATTGATCAAGTTGGTTGGGATTGATCACGTTTACTGTATCATTTTCTTCCTTTTCACTTTTTGCTATCATTTTCTTCCCATTAGTTCATGGTATCCAAAAAATTTCCAACCTAGAATGGAGGATTTGAATGCTATAGGTTAGAAATTGAGAATTTTGATGTTTATCACATGTGATAAACATCCAAATTTGCAATTATCTGAAGATGCTTATGTTGATGATAATGAAGGTTCGATAATAGTGTGATAACAATAATATTTCATAGTTTTTTCTAGATCGGTTGTGTTATCGTTGTGACTATACTGATATGGGCTTTTATCACATGTGAAAGGTAAATGAAATTGTGAATGTCAACATTTTTAGTCGATCTATAGTTATTGGTACATGTTGATTTGAGTGTAATGTTATAGTAATTTTGTAATTGAGAATTTTGATGTTTATCACATGTGATAAACATCCCAACTTAAAATTGTATATTATTGTAATCTTTATTGAGGTTGATATCACACACATATCACACCAAGTCGTGTAGTTGATTTTCTAAGTTAACCTTAGCCGAACGGAATCCTTGTGATAAATGTGTGATAGTCACATGATTATCACACCCAAATCATCAAATCGTGTTGAAATAACCGATAACCATAATAATCTATTATGTTATCCTATATTATCGGGTTTAATGTGATTGTGTTTTTAAAATTTTATCACTTTAAATTCCAATATTACCTTTTGCCTCTCAAATTTTTTTGAATTGTTTTCAATTTCATTTTTAATTTAAAAAATCTTTTAATTATTATTATAATATGAGGTTAATAGGTTCTTGTGTTTTCACAAATCACAAGGGTTCTTGTTTGAACCATTATATATATATATATATATATACACATATATATAGACTTGGGATCATGTGAGACCAGCCTGTTTTCGTGAGACCCGTGAGACCAACATTTTACACTTGAAACTTCACAACAAAATGCTGTGAAGGTGACTTTTTAAAACCTTCACAGTGTTTTT